ACAGAGTTTAATATATTTATAAGTTTTGTTATGAAATTCAATATTTTTATATTTGTTACTAAATCTAATATTGAAAATTGTATCTTTAAGTTAGTTTAGATTCATTGTTATGGGGTTTATTAGCCCTTATGCTAACAATATGCATATTTGGAGTGAGAATATAACATGCAAGACCCCACTTATAGAAATGAGTTGAATAACACCAACCAAGGTGTTATATGGTGTGTTGGTGGAGAACCCCATTTTGATAATGGACTAATGGAACCAAATTTTAAGCACATAAATGAAAGGAAAAGATGAGAGAAAGGTCTTTAGGCGATTTTTATCCATTGTTTGTGTTATGAATTTTGTTCTATTTGAAGAAAGTAAATATCCTCTTATCTCTGTCTTCGATGGTTTTAATTTCTATTAATTTATTTCCACTACGTAACTTTTATGTATTGAACATTTGATAATTATGAATAATAGTTATGATTTTATTGTATTTTTATCGATTAGAAACATGTATATAAGTATTTTTATGAAATGAGTAGCAAAAAGCTATACTAAAAATGGGTTAAATGTGATGTATTATAATTTGACATGATAATATTTATTAAAATGTAATATGTACTAGAATGATTGATAGGGTTGATATGTACTAAAATGTGATATTGACTTGACTAAAAGGATATTCTAATTGATATTAAAGTATATGAAAGAATAATCCCCATTTGATAACTTCAAGAAACACTGATTCAATGATGGAGCCATAAGGAGCAAGAGCCTAATTGGGAGTTATAAGGAGTCGGGGCAACTAATCCACATGATTTAAGAGGACTTATAAGGAGTACACTGATTGAGAGTCATAAATGGCGATTGACATGGAGTCATAAGGGTCGAAAAAAGATACATGATACCCTCATATGAATATATGATAGAATACTGATTAATTATTATTGATATGGATTATTAATATTGATTTTTGATATTAATTACTAATATATATATTGATTAATATAACTATTATTGTACGAATATTGACCTTATGGACATTGATTTATGTTACTGGATATATATATTGGTAGATTAACGAGAATGATTGAATGATAACGACATAATGATTGATTGACTAGCAGAATGAGATGTGATGTGTAATATAACTAATCAATAGACACAAGTGACCGGTACATATGTTACATATTAATGTATTGACTTTTTTATATGATTTACAACATATTATTCCTCTTTTGTCATGTATTGATTTCAGTTATAAGATTTTAATTATTTATTTGACTTTTATGCTCATTATGTGATTTATATGATTTTAGGTAAATATAAGGGTCATGCAGCTTGAGACTAGTATAGTTTTACAATTAAAAGAATATATTGTAGAAACTTAATCTATTAATTGCATATACATCAATGATAAGGCCATCGTGGCATAAAGTAGGGGTTTAAAATTTAGGACAATAATTTTTTTTAGTTCCCTTTCCTATATTAAGGGCATTGTATTGTACTATCTTATTTTAAAATATAAATGAAAATTAACTTTGAAATTTGATTTCTAACTATATTTTTTGTATAAAAAATATTATCAATCTTTGTCCATATTTTTATTAATCATCATCACAATATTAGAAATTTTACACATTGATTGTTTGTAATATTAATATCAATCAAAGAAAGCCACAATGCTAGGCAATGTTCACTAAAGGGCCTCAAAGGGTGCTACTTCAAGAAATCATGACATCAACACTGATAGTAATAAAAGAACTACCTATTAAAAGATATTTTCAAAACTTGACCTAATAAGAAGGTAAAGCTCTTTCTACCAAAAAGCATAATAGCTATAAAGGAGCTACAAATTTTTTTTGTTATTGATTAAAAGTTAGTGGAGTAATTGTTGTTTGCTTTACATGAGATATTTTGAAGCTACGGTTTTGTTTGTGACAACTTTCTTACTACTTTTTAAAGCAGGTTTCTAGTATATAAGAAGCAGTAAAAAAGTAGTCCCAAATGAAGCCTACATGTCAATCAATATGGCCACATAAAATTCAAATGTGAACTCATAAGCTCATTGGAGCTTCATATATGCAATATGATTCAATGAATTGGGAACATAATGTACATTGTTGTGGGATATAGATATATGGGCAACGTTCAATGCTTGAAGTCAGGGTTGTAATCGAGTCGAGTCGAGTTGAACTCAAGTCACCCTTGACTTGAACTTTATTAATCAACTGAGTTTGAGCTCAAGCTTCGACTTTATTATACGAGTTTGAGTCGACTTATTTGTAAGGAAAGATAAAAAAATGATTATTATTCAATAAAGTATTAATGTAAAATTGTAAAAAGAATGAAAAATTAGATAAACAATAATAAAGAATCGCATAATATAAGAAAGTGATATATAATTTTTTAACATTTTTAACAAATTTGTCATTAAAATCATGATTGTTAATACATTTAAGCGTATTTTATATTAAGATATCTTAAACGAGCCGGTTTGCGAGCTAACGAGTCTAGTCAGGATCAGCTCAAGCTTGACTCGTCAGCTCATTGAGCTCAACTCACAAGTCATTTATCGACTCGAGCCCGAACCGGCTCAGTATTCATCTTGACTTACTTACACCCCTACATGAATTAACTGCATACTTAAAATTTTTAATGTCAGCATAAAATTAATGAAATGGCTTAGAAAGCGATGCATATAAGGAAGTTTCCTTATCTCTCATTCTCTCCACAACAAAATTTAAAAAAAAAAAAAAAATTAGGGGAACAAATAAATGGGCGTTGCCCACTAAGTGCGGTTAGTGTGCGACTGATTTCATAAAATATAAAAATTAAAATTGTTTCTATTCATAAAAATAAAATCTGTCTAAATCATTTTATGTTTTTTGCTATGGATTGTTTCACTAAGCGGTTTTTATTTGCAAAAACAAATTGGGGTTTGCGGATCTTTTATAATTTTTTGTAATTTTTTAGGAGTTCGGTATCGCTGCCGAAATTTGTCATATCCTAATTGTTTTCCAGTAAATTGTGAGAAATGAAAATTTGGATTTTCAAGCATCATAAATCACGTTGAATTAGCCGAAAAATATTTTGATTTGGTCGTCCCATCTCTTCGGTCCCAATAAATGAAAAAAAAAAAGTACTTATTTCATCTGGGTGTCAATAAGTTGAGTGACGTGGCTTTTTTGTATCGTTTGCACATTGTGTTTAAAAAAAAAAAATTATGTGGCTTCACCTGATTGGAGTCTGGACGAAAAGTTACAATAGAAGCTTCAACTAATTGGAGTCCTATGTCCAGACTACAGACATAATAATCTTTCCAATAAATGACCCGATCCAAATTCTACCATAAAAATTTGAATTCGGGTTGAGAAATGAATCGGGTTCAAATTGATCATCCTATTTTTTACCTGAAAATGATTGATTTTATATAATTTTTCTTCATTTTTTGTGGGCATAATCTTCTTTTTTTTAAACAAATATCTTAAATTTTATAGTTATAATTATTTTTCGCAAAATAGGTTAATGAGCTGAGTTTGGGTCATTAGGGGTGCTAGCAGGTAGGGGTGTCAAACTTTGACACGACATGAAAACCCGACCCGAAATTTTCGGGTTAGATTTGACCCATTTCCAAAATGGGTCGGGTTCGAGTTCCCAGATTCGACTTGTTTAAAAAAACGGGTCGGGTTCGGGTTGACCCGACGGGTTAACGGGTCAACTCGGAAACCCGTTTGAACCCCTGCCCGCGGACCTGCCCGCCCCTACCAACACGCCCGTGCGGCTGCCCGCTCGCTCGCGCGGCTGCTCGCTCGCTCGCACGGCTGTTACACCGGCCGACTCTATTGTGAAGAGGTCACTCTACCAATTCAATTTATTAATAAAATCTTTCTAATTTTGAATCAAATAGAATTGGATTGAACCGGTGATTGAATCGATGAACCAGTGAATCAGATAATATTTCATTGAAGTATTATGACTAAATTGTTACTGTTTTATGTATTGAGAATGTTAAAATTTAAATATGAATCAAATAATTTAAGTAAATAAATTATTTAAACTTCAAAGAAAGTAAAAAATTCTTCCTCAATTATTTTCCTGCATTGCACGCACGGTGACGATTCAGCCCCCTTTGCCTTTGGTCGGAGTTGTTCTTATAAGGAGAATTTTAATTTAAAATTAGTAAATATGTTTCTTTAATATATCCTATATTTAATGAAATAGTTATTTTCATTTTTCACATATTTACATCTTTATTACATCATTTAAATAATTTTTTACCGTTGAATTTTTGAAACTTGAATATATAGAAAAAAATGAATTTTACGTCAGGATATTATGACATGATTTATTTTTATATAAATAACATATAAAATTTTAAATTATATATATAATATAATTATTATTAATTTTAATATAAAATATATTTAAAATATATTTTAATGTAATTTATATCTTAGAAATAATGCAAGTAAATATAAAAAAAGTTTAGTATTAATCACAATTAGATCAAGATACATAAAAATTTAATAATATATATGAAATTAAAAAAAAAAACAAAATATTACTTTAAATATGAATTTGAATACAAATTATATTAAATCAATGGGATACAAATTATAAAAAATTAAAAAATTATTAAATTTATTATGAGAATAATAAAATATAAAATTTTCATATGAATATTAATCTCAAAATAATTTTAATAATTTTTTAATTTTATTTTAATATAATTTATATTATAATTTTTTTCTGAGAATTTAATACTTACCCTTTATGATTTTCGTGTCATCTCCCCCATCAGAGGCGGTTTCTATTCCCTCCTCATATTAAATATTTAACTTTATTATTTTCTTTTCACTTTTTTTTTTTTTTACTTCGTATTTTTGTTTTACCCCTTTCTGCCGTTCACACGCGGCAAGGCCTATAAATATTCCCGTGAGCGCCTCTCTCTCTCTCTCTCACTCTCTCTCTCTCTATCTGTCACACACGGATACACTCTATCTCTTCTTCCAGAGCTCACCTTTGAATCTGCTTCAGCTTTTTCTCCTCGCCGGCTTTTATTTTTCTCGTTAGAGAGAAAAACAAAGGGTAACTCTCCTCCCTCTCTCTCTCTCTGTTCTGCACTTCAGCGTCTGTTTCCTCTATCACAGATCTAGATCTGCGATTGTTTTTTGAGAAAACCTCGATGCGTTTAGTTTTTCTGATTACGATTTCCTTTCTATTATTTAGATCTGTTATTGAAATTCCGTTGCTGTTAAAGTTCTGAAATGGAGAAAATATTGAGTGATTTTTTATTTTAATTTTTTTTAATTTTTGCAGACAGTCTGTAAGATATGGCAAACAGATGTTCGATTCAGCAGAACGGCTACTGTGCCGCCGGCGATCGGCCGGTTATCTGCCCCAAACCTCGTCGGTTTTTCTCGCCGGCAGATGCTTCGGATCCGAAATCTGCTAACCATCTTCTCGATGCCCTTTTTCCAAAGGTTCGACTCTGGCCCTCTTTACAATGCGTTTTTAGTCGTTTGATCTGAAGCCGAAGGTTCTGATTCACTTATATGTTCTACCCAGCTATCGGATCCAGCGCCGCTGTTTCTCTGCGGGTCGCCGCCGACGAGATCCAATAACCCTATGGTCCACGACGTCCGATTCGGGGAAGCTATTCCGCTCGCCCCTACGCCGATCGCGTCGGCTGGGATCGGATCCGGATCCGTAAAGAACGTCTGCACCCGAATTCGATATGGCATCATGCCGGCCGCTGTACGTATCGAGGGTTTTGATTGTCTAGACCGTGAGCGTACTCGGAGCCGCGGCATCCAGGCAGTCGCATAGATGCATCCGCATAATTTCATGGAGAGATTTGTTCCATCCGGTCGTTGGAGAAAAGGAAAATTAGCCAAAGGCAATGAAATTAGGGGATTTTTTTATAGTTATTTTGCTGCTAATGGAGAGAATTTTGACGTGTAAATAGTAAGGGGAGAAAGTAAAATATTAATTTATAATTTATATGGTTGGTTATTTTAGTAATTATAGTATTGTCAAGTGTTAGGGTTTCTGTTCTTCATTATTGAAGTTGTACAAAGAAATGGGTTTGGCTTTGTTGGCTTGAATCTTATAAGAAAGAATTTTGAGTCATTGTATGATTTTATTTTTATTTATTTTTTATTTTTTTCTAAAATCTAGAATTGTTAGGACATTTTATTATTAGGTTATGTTTGAGATAATTTTTTTTACTATTTTTTAAAAACGTTTTAAAAAATTATTTTAAAGTTCTTCCAAACAAAATTTTAGTCATTAATTCTATAAATTTATAACATTTTAAATTCTTTATTTAGCTTTAATTTGATTGTGATATTGTAATTACCATAAAAGATATGGTGGTTTTTGCATTTGAATTTAAAAATTAATTGTTGTTTTTTTCTTGCAAATTTGAAATATTGCATATTTAATGAACCTTTGCTTATATATATAAAGTGAATTTAGAAATATATTTGATTTAAATTTTTTTAATGTTTAGCAATATATTATAAAAATATGTGATTTGAATTTATAATTTTAGAAAAATAAAACTTTTTATTTATTTATTTATTATAAATTAAGTGTATTGAAATAAAGCCATTTTATTTAGGTTAATATTTTAACTATTTGAATTATTTATTGCCCATTTGAACTTGGCATTTTGTAGTATTGTCTTTTTTGTTGGTGTTTAAGGACTTAGGAGACTTGATGCCTAGCCATGTAAATAAAGCTCAACAAAATAAAAATAAAATTCTTGTTCAATAAGCTCTAATGATGCCAATATTGGATTTGACATGAAATTGTACTCAAACAAGCATAAAAGTTTGTCGTAAAATTGGTTTAGATTCGCTTATAATAACAACAATAATAATTTCAAGCCTTTATCTTATTACATGGAGTTGACTAAAAGAATTTTTTTCTCCGTTGTGTCATATTAAGAGTCAAATTCTTTTTTTAATCTAATAAAAAAAGGTAATTTTTAGTGGTTTTTAATCAATTGATCCGATTATTTATAAAAGTATGATAGGAATAGTTTAATATTAGAATTTTCATAATGTTTGTATTTTTTTTAGACCAATCGATTGAAATGTTATTATTATATTCAAATTTACTTATAGGTGATGCTAATGCTTCATTTGGGACGGTTTTCTTTCTGCTTTGTAAAGCTGTTTATTTATTACACAAATTTCTGGAAAAAAAAAAAAAACAGTAGTCTAAAGCAGTCTCCAACGAAGATCAAATAAGATCAAAAAAATACCTTTTGAGTAAGTATGAACTCCAAGAAAAAATAGAGAAATGAGAAGAGCTTTTTTTGTGAAAAATTATTACATCCGGTGAAAATACCGAGCATACTGAGTGTATCGAGCACGCTGTACCGAGCACTTTAGTGACGTGGCGTTTTGTTATTATTTTCCGGATGCATTCGGTAACCTGACGGAATAATTACTCCTTTTTTGTTCAACATAATCATCTCCAAAATACTACATTCATAGTTATGTTGATTTAAGCAAAGATGTCTGAATAGCTGTGCACATGCTTCATCTAATTAATTAGTAGGGTTTTGGTTACAAGATAACTATCTTTATGCAAATTTATTAACTGAATTAATTACAAGAGCATATATGTTCATGTCATCGCACATGGTTTTACAACCACTGTGTTGATTACTTGCCTTTCCTTATCCTATGAAGAGTTCGCTTGATAGCATCTGCCATTTGATTCCTTGCAAGCTTTTATCCATCTATAAATCTCAGCTTTGTTTGGACAACTTTTCACCGCAGTTTTTTGTTGCATTCAAAAAATTTTATATTAAAAAATTGCTTTAAAAAACAGTGAGAAAACTATCTCAAATAAGATCATCATCAACTACAATCAACTTGTTTCGGTGTTATTTGAATAGTAGAGTGAAAATATGCGCGCGTTGTAACATAATAAAAAGATTGACCTTAGTTTTGGTATAGTAGATGTATACAACAACAACAACAACATCAAGCCTTTATCCCACTACGTGGGGTCGGCTACATGAATCTTTTTTCTCCATTGTGTCCTATTAAAAGTCCAATTCTCGTTTAAATCTAATAAAGAAAGGTCATTCCTAATATTTTCTAACCAAGTCTTTTTAGATCTACCCTACCTTTTTTAACATAAGTCAATTCTAATACCTCTACTCTCCTAATCGGGTCATCGGAAGGCCGTCGTTTATAGTAGATGTATAAGCTCTTAAATATTGGTCTAAACATCTATTGAACAATTAAGGTTTCAATTGGGACGACTTTCTTATTGCTTCATAATGCAGCTTTCTAACTACTTCTTAAAGCATCTTTCCGGTACAAAAATTATTATTTTTACATTAAAAAGCCGACTTAGGATGTAAAAAGAAATCCGTTTCAAGGATTCGTTTGGGACGGCTTTTTTATTACTTATTAAAACAACTTTATTGTTTAGAAAAAAAGCTGTCCCAAATGAGATCCTCATCGACTACAATCAGCTTGCTTTAGGCTTTATTTGAGACATCTTTTTTACCGCTTCGTAAAGCTGTTTTCTAATACAAAAATTTAAAATTTTTGTACAAGAACATTGCTTTAAAAAGCAGTAAAAAAACCTCCGAAACGAAACCTCTGTGTCCTTTGAATAGTAGAGTGAAAACCTGTGTTGTAACATAATTCAACTCAAAATAAAAAGATGGACCATAATTTTGGTCGAGTAAATGTATAAGCTCTTAAATATTGGTCAAAACATCTATTTGTATACGAGTTGTTGGTTGGAATAGATTAGTCAAGTAAACCTGATATGGAATTTGTAGAAGTAAAAAAAAAAATAAATGTCTTTGCATATTTGAGGCCAGTAGAATTTGGCAGCAAGATGTTTAATAGTTTCAGGCCAATTAAGGCAAATACACGCATCATATATGTAAATCTCGAATCGAAGACCTCTTGATTTATAGCCAATATTCCCAACTAATAGAATTTCACGGACAATTTCAGGGAGTGTAAGAACTATAGAATAGCTTGCAAATTATAATGATGGAGAGATAAATTGGTACTATAAACCAAAATATTGTCAAAAAATACTACGGTGAATTTGCTGAGTCAATCAAATACTTGATTCATCAAAGATTGAAAAATTGAATGTGTATTAGCTAAAGATGAACAACATAATCAAAATTTTGAGATGTTTATTGTCAGCACAGAAAGACTGTTTGTGAATGTCTTTATGGTACATCCAAACTTGGTATATTGAACAAAGTTCAAATTTTGGATTAATTATTATGTGCGGATACCGAACGTCATCTGGAGATCAATCAGAATGCACTACGTCACCCCTGAGCTCGGTACCACGGCTCGGTACCGCTGAAGTGGCACATTCTGATTAGTCTCCGGACGACGTTCTGCATTCGGTCTCCGCACAGAATAATTTCTCCAAATTTTGAGAGCACTCTGGCTCCCTTCAATTCATCAAAGTGTTCATTAATTAAAAAAAATAAGGAGTTTATAAATGATTGTGATAGCATTTTTCATGCTATAGATTCACAGCAAAACCGCAAAGTACCATCACTTCGTTTGATAAGAAGAGTCTGATCAGAAAATGAGCTTTGGTTATGCCACACTTTGACGTCTCGATAATCAATTTTTTTCATGGCATCTGTTTGAACTTGTTTTAATATTATTTTCAAGTCAAATACGTTGATGAACCCCTTGTTGTGGAGTTAGTTCTGAAGGATGTGTCAATATTAGAATACTATATATGTTACATTTCATATCTGTATAACCATTTATGTTTCCTTATGTGTAGCTGTAGGATAACACTTATAAATACTAGACTCTGTACTTGTAAAGAATATGAATAAGAAAATAATTCTTTTACTTTCTCGGTTGTCCTCTTCTCGGTGCTATGTCCGCATGCTTCTTGTTCTCTTGATTTCTACATGGTATCAGACGTGGCTTAACGATTCCGGCGACCATGGCGTCCTCCACCACCTCCCAGCCCGGCAATGATCAGGAAGCAACTACTTCGGCTCATCCGGTTCTTTCTTCCTCTCTCAAATTCATCCTCTCTAACCTCAAGAATATTGTCCAAAATCCTCTTTCACCGGACAACTATCCTCTTTGGAAATCACAAATCCTCAAGATTTGTCGTGCTAACAACTTTGAGTCCTATCTCGATCCCAACTATCCAATTCCAGATAAAATTCTTGTTTCGGCCACTGGTTCTACCTCCTCAAATCCCCTCTATTTGCAATGGCTTCTCAATGACCAAAATCTTGCTGCAGCCATATGCTCTACCATCTCTGCCTCGATTTTACCGTATGTCATCGATCTTGAATCTTCTTCCGCTATTTGGACCGTTCTTCAAACTCGGTTTCAAGCCACAAATCGGTCGAAGGTCATTCAACTTAAGAATGAACTCTCTCATACTTCTTTAAAGAACTCTTCCATGCTTCAGTATCTTAACGAAATCAAATCGTTGGTTGATCAAATCGCTGCTGCCGGATCCAAAATTGATCCTGAAGACGTCATTCATCACATTTTGAATGGCCTTCCTCCGGCCTATCAGTCGTTTAAAACGACTATCAGAACTATGACCCAATCTTTAAATCTTGATCAACTTTATTCTTTACTCATCAGTGAAGAAATTCATATTGCTTCCGATGCCGCTCGTTTTGCGAACCCCACTATACCGGATACTGCTCTGTTCTCGTCCAGAGGCCGCAGCCGTCACGGTCGAGGTCCTTCCAGCGGCTCTCGAAATGGCTCTACACAGCCTCTGGTCACATGCCAGATATGCCTTAAACGTGGTCATCTTGCGTCCAATTGCTGGCATCGTCTCAACGCTCAGTATGTTCCCAATCCTCCCAAGCCATCTCCGAAAGCTCTGGCAGCTGATTCAAACTCTGCCTCCAACGACTGCTGGTATCTTGATTCTGGAGCGTCATCACATATGACAAAATCTCTGGAGAACCTCTCGATCTCGAATCCCTATCAAGGGTCTGATAGTATCACCATCGGCGACGGGAGCAACGTTAGCATAGCTCATTCCGGCAAAGGCTTGCTACCGACTCCCTCTCGTAAGCTTACGTTGTCTCACATTTTTCACACACCGGCACTGCAATATAACTT